CACCAGGATGAGCAGAGGGATGGAGCAGCTCTGCTGGGAGGAAAGGCTGGGAGAGCTGGGGGTGCTCACCTGGAGAAGGCTCCAGGGAGAGCTCAGAGCTCCTTCTGGTGCCTAAAGGGGCTCCAAGAGAGCTGGAGAGGGACTTTAGACAAGGGCCTGGAGTGAAAGGATACGGGGGAATCGCTTCACACCGACAAAGGCAGAGTTTGAAGGGATATTGGGAAGAAATTCTTCCCTGAGGGTGGTGAGGCCCTGACACAGGTTGTCCAGAGAGGCTGTGGCTGCCCCATCCCTGGGAGTGTCCAAGGCCAGGCTGGACGAGCTGGGATAGGGGAAAGTGTCCGTGTCCATGGCAGCGGGTGGAACTGGACGTTTTTTCTCCCATCCCACCCGATCCCTCTCACCCCCGAGTCCCGCTCCCCGTGGCTGCCCGCGCTGTGCACGCCGGGAGTTGTAGTCCGGGGACCCCGGGCCCAGCGGCCCGCACTCCGCTCACCTCTCGCTGTTGCTCCTCGCTCTTCCGCAGTCGCTCGGCCAGCTCTTCCGCCCGCAGAGCCGCCGTCGCCCGTCCGCTCCCGCAGACACCACGCACCGCCTGGGCCAGCCCCACGCCGCTCCGCCAACACCGCCTCGCCGCGCCGCCGCCTGCCGCCATCTTCTCCCTCCTTCTCCGCGTCCCTCTTCCGGCCAATGGCGGCGCCGCGGGCGCGGCACCGCGGAGCGCTGCCCAATGGGAAGGCGCCGCCTGTTGAGCGACAGCCGCGCTAGCCAATGGCGGCTCGCGGGGGTGTTTAAACCACGGCGGCGGTTGCGGGTCACAACGGAGCAGCGGGAGCGGCGCGGCCGGGCCGGAGGTACCGGGGAGCGAGCGGGGTGGGGGGGGGTCCCAGCCCAGTGCAGCCTCGGCCACCCCCCCCCTTAGTGCTGCCTCACTGCGGGCCGGGGGTGCTGAGCCCCCTCCCATTGCCCCCAAGCCAGAACACAGCACCGTTACACGGGTTTTCTTCAGATTTATAAAAAAATAGCACTGAAAAAATGCTTTTTTGTTCAATAACAGTGATTTAAAAAAGGGGGGTGAAGTGTCAGCTGGCCCCACGCCGAGGTGCCCCATCACTCGGTGTCCATGCAGATTCTCTTGGGCAGCTGCTCGGGGGCTCCACTGCTGCCCCGCTTGCCCTCGGGAGGCTCCCCAGCCCAGTCCCCCGGCCCCTGGGGAGGCTCGATGCGGCCCCTCCGCACGAAGTGCTCGATCCGGGCCTCCAGCCCCTCGCATCTGGGCCGGGCCAGCAGGGGCTTGTACGTGCGGGCTTGAACCCCTTCTACAAAGCCGCTGATCTGGCTGTGGAGTGGGGGCTGCAGCTCACCCCAGGGCACCAGGCTGCTCCCTGGACCTGTGACATCATGGAAAACAACAGTTAATTACCCTGTCCTTCCTTTTTTTTTTAACCAGTTAATCCTCTGTAATTCACAGAATCCCATAATGGTTGTGTTGGAATGGATCTTAAAGCTTATCTTGTTTCACCCCCTCCCATGGGTAGGGGCACCTTCTCCTATCCCAGGTTGCTCCAAGCTCTGTCCAGCCTGGCTTTCAACACTTCTAGGGATGGGGCAGCCACAGTTTCTCTGGGCACTCTGTGCCAGGGTTTTCCCACCCTCCCAGGGAAGAATTTCTTCCCAGTATCACACCTAACCCTGCTAGCATTCCGAGTTATTCCCCCCCAAACTTCCCTCTACCTTTTTTACTGGCCATGGGAGCAGCATCCAGCCCTGCCAACATGTCCCGGAGCACGTGGGTTTTGACGGCGTGGCTGGCCCAGAGCTGCTGCAAGTGTGTCACGTTGAAGCCCTGCACCTCTGGGTCGTAGAGCCACTGCAGGTCTGGGAACTCACAGTTGTACAGGACCAGGGGGAACTCGACGGCCATGCTGGGAACAAGGACAGGAGGTGGGACCAAGAACAATGGATCTCCCAGAACCAGCCCCAACCTTCACAGAACTTTTTTTCTGTGTAAAAAGTGACATACCAGTTTTACCAGTTACCAAGAACTATAACTATCAAAACTTTGCTTAAGAGCAAGAAAACAGAGATCCTTGTGTCTGTATTCCAGTGAGGCCACTGGCAGCCTGTTTCCATGCATGAGACTGCTTCAAGTAGCTGGCATGGTTTGCCAGCAGCACTCCAGGCACAGCTGTTGCTCTGAAGAGCAGCCCATTGTGTTTTCCAGACCAATCCCTACCTGTACTGTGGTTTCCGGGGGTTCTTCTCCACGTTCAGCAGCTCATCGATGACATCGGGGCTCTCCATGCCCTGGCCAATGAGGAAGAGCACGGCCATCATGCAGCGCACTTGGTGGTACAGGAACGCCTGTCCTGTCACCTCGAACTGGCACAGCCGGAAGGGATCCCGTGGCCTGGCTTCTCCTCCCCCATCCACCCACGTCACTCTGGCACTGAGGATGGTCCTCTGGAAGTTGAGCACCCCGTTGGCCACGTCCATCTTGCAGAGGTTGCGGAAGTCGTGGGTGCCCACGTAGCGCTGGGCCGCGGTGTCCATGAGGGCCACGTCCAGCTGGGCACAGGGGAAGAAGTACCGGTAGGTCCGGCTCAGGCAGCTGAAGCGGGCGCTGAACTCTGGCCCCACGGGGGCCCAGGCCAGCACCCTGATGTCGGGTGGCAGCACCCTGTTCAGGATGTGGGTGTAGCGGAGCTCCTCCTGCTGCCCCTCACCCTCATGGCCGTTGAGCTGCTGCTGCCCCTCCGGCAGGCTGGAGCGGAGATCCAGGGAGATCACCTGCAGAAATGAGGAAAGCCAGGATTAGAGCAAGGATGGATGGGTGCAGCAGCGTGTGGAGCCAAGTCTTCCCACATCTCTGAGAAATAAATCCAGGATCTCCTACAGATGAAGGTGGCTTCAATCAGGCAATCCTGCCATGGCAGAGCTGCGAGTGCCTCTGAGGACCTGAGCAGATGCCATGGATTCCATTAATAAAACAGGGAAAGTTGCAGGCTGCCTACGTAGCACGGTCTCGGAATGGCTTCATCTTTAGTCACTGGGTTATAATGTACTTTTTTTCCCCAAGCTGGAGGTGATGACTTGAAGGCAGTAACAGCCTGTTTGGCCAAGAAGCCTGGTGTGGGAACAAGTTCATTCCCACCGTGGGTGCTGTGTGCTGAAGTGGTGCAAAAGAAGGCACCAAATGCCCTGATTTCATGTATCTTATCCTGTGAAGGAGAGCAGAGCAGCCATTTGAAGCTAAACCTATGCTAGCTTTGCTTTCTGTGCTGAGAGGGAAGAAAGGAGACCCAGCCCTGTGGTGAAGCCACCAAGGTCGCTCTCTCCCCAGTGTCTCAGCCAGCCGGATGGCTCCATGCCGACCGAGCGGGCCAACTTGCCTCTCTCCCTCCAGCTCCCACTCCCACGCTCCCTTCCGCTGGCTGCAGCTCTCCTCAGACCCTTCTGTGCAGGAATTCAGCTGCCTGATGCTGCAGGAAGTGAGCCAGTTCCTGGAGATTTTGGGTTTTTGTAGGGTTGGCAAGTTAAATCAGCTGAGAGGGCCCTGGCAAGGGCAGGGCATCACCAAGCTATTGGGGAATCTGCAGCTTAAAATACGCTTTAGCCTCTTAAAACAGGGCCCTGGAAAAAAACTAACATGGGAGGAAAATGGCACTAAAAAGGCTTCAAAGGTCTGAAATCATCATTGCACATGCAGGAAGCCATTGCCAGGTTCATTTCCAGGGTTAAGAGCTGATGGCTTTTAAAGAACAAATCCAAGCTGTGCCTTGGGACAGTAATCCCATCAGATCTCCATCCCACCCAGGAAAACCAACAGGAACCTCCATGGGGATGCTGACCTGCCCAAAGGCACTGACACCCTTGTCCGTGCGTCCACAGCGGTGGTAGTTGGACGTCTGTCTGTCATCCACCAGCCGTGTCTTCTTCAGGGCTTCAAAGAGCTTCTCCTCGATGGTGTTGGGGGTGTTCTCCTGGCTGGCAAAGCCCTGGTAGCCCCAGCCCAGGTAGGCAATGCGCAGTGCCACGTGTCTGCGGCTGTGGGCACTGAAATCAAAGGGCCGTTGTTGGCGTTTCCTGCCTTTCCCAGAGGCTGGAGGAGCCTCTTTCCTCACAGCAGCCTCCTTGTCCTCCCGGAGCTTCTCCTGCAGCCGCTTCACCTCTACTTCCAGCTCCTGCACCCTCCTCAGGAGCTGCTCGTGGTCAGTGGCCGTGCTCTCCTCAGCCATAGCCACCACCCTGGAGCATCAGTTTGTTGCTGGTGGATCCTTGGCGTCTGCAGAGAAAGAAAAAAAAATGGTGGATTTGCATTTCCATGTGGTTTTTATTAGATATCTAGGCTTGTTCTGCAAAATAACTGTTATCAACAGTCAGTCTTTATTGTCTGAGCCCCTTGGTGTTCCCAGGGGAGCACAGGCAGGGCAGGGGCATTGGTGCTTAGCTCAGGGCAGCTTCATCTCACTCAAATCTCTTTTTTTGGACTATTCAATCACTCCTCTTCCCCCAGCTGACGGGATCTGCTCCGTCAGCAGCAGCACGTTCCCAGCGAGCCGTCACGGAGCCCCTTCACTTTCACACCTGCATCCCCACTGCAGACAGCGTGCTGATGGCTGCCACTCATCCCGCCCCACCATCTGCTCCCACTGTTCCCAGCACCAGCAACACTTGTGGCTTTTCAAACCCCTAAAGAGATCCTAAACCCGTGCTGAGAGTGGGATCTGTGTCTGGATCCCTTTTTGTCACAGGGCTGAAGGTTTACTATCTCCACTCATAAATGAGCATCTAAACACATTGCACTGAGCCCTTCCCTCTTCTGGAAGAAAAACACCCTCTGGGATGTCTCTTGATTAAGTTATGACTAAATATTGTGGGTTTAGAAGCAGAAGTACAAGGAAAGACCATTAATCTCTCACCCAGTGCATGGAACCTGTCCTGTGTTTTTCCATCGGTACTTCATTTACCACATAATTAATTCCAGTGTAGATTTCTAGCAGGAATTCAGGGGTTGTGTTTGTGTTACTGTAGGGAAAGAGCCTTCTGCTGGCAGCAGGAGGTTTAGCAGCGCACTGAGGACACCCCCAACCTAAATCAACATCCCTGAACCCAAAAACTTGAGTGTCAGAGCCCCTTTGACATCTTTAGCCAATGAATGTAATGCAATAAATTAACCCTGGTTTCTTTTTCTGCAGAACCCACCCAGTTTAGTGGGAACCATGGAGAAGCTGCTAGGAGCAGAGAGTGAGGAAGAGCTGGCAGCCTATCTGAGCCAGCTGCACACCTGGCAGGAAGGCGGCAAGGGGCCGTGGTGTTCCTACCATGATCCCTATGCTGACTCATCCATCATTTTTGACACATGGCCATCCCTTCCCATGGATCAGAACGGATCCAGGAGGTCGGTGATGAAGAGGAAGGTGCTGAGGCACAGACCCGATGGAACAGTGGAGGTCTCCGATGAGTCACCGAACGCCAAGCCGTGGAGCCGGGGGCATTCCAGGGCTTCTGTGGGTGACCCCATCTCCAAAATAGAAACCACCCTGGAGAACAACCTGCACTATGATGATGGTAACAAGCTCCGTGAGGACAGCCTCTGCTCTCTCCTCAGGGATTTTGGAAACAACACTGCATCCAATTATGCCATGTTAAGGCAACAGGCCAGGAACTACATCGCTCCAAAGGCTCAAAAAGTGAAGAGAACTGACCCAGTGGCCAAATTAAACAAATACAAACAAGACTGGAAGAGATTCAGCTTTCCCGGGCAGGATCCACACGAGAGCTTGCGCCGGGCCGTGCACAGGCAGATACTCCAGACGGGGCTGCCGCGGCGGGCGCAGAAGCGCGTCAGCGTCCCCAACCCGTACGAGGTGCCCACCATGAAGAAACGCGACTCCCTGCGCTTCGGCGTGCGCTGGGACCTGGCCCACCGCCGCATTCCCCGCCGGAACACCACCTGCTAGAGCCCCAGCCCCGCTGCTTCCTCCTCCTCAACATCCTCCATAGTCTGCAAAATCCCCCTGGTGCGCTTCAAGCGCAGGTTAAGTTTTGGTGTGGAGGAGGTTTTCTTTGCAAGGTCTCGGCAATATCTTTTTTTTCTCAATAAAGCATCTGCAAAGATTCCTTATTGTTCTGTGGGTTCTTTAGAAACACTGCAGGCAACATCCATTATTCCCAACTTATCTCTGCATCACCTAACTCATCTGTCTTTGCCTTATTTTACCCCATCTTTAAAATAAATTAGCAAGGTATTATTAGCACTACTAGTAGTGTTATTACTATTACTAGTGTTAATTTTTTTCCAGATGTGGGAATGGCCTGAAAAGGCAGCAGTTCTGGTGCAGGAAAGGGTCCCCAAAAGCTCAGTGGGATGGCTGGGAAAAGGAGTGGGATGATGGGAAGAATGTGACAGCTGCAGCCTGGAGTCCTGTGTCCAGCTTCCTGTGAACCTCCTCTAGAGGTGATCCCAGATGGGGGGCATGCAAGCTTGAGGACCTGGCTGTCACCCCACAGTGCAGGGGTTCTGACATCTCGGGGGACCTTCCAGGTTGGTGATCCCTGGCTCTCCAGCATCCTGTGGATCCCCATCCATCTGTGAAGGGGTCTTTACTCTCCAGAACCCTTGAAACTCTCCCCAAACCCCATGGGGGACAGTACCCCAATCCTACAGCTTCCCTGCTCCTTCAGCACCCAAGGGCCCCTTCCCTCTATGAGGTTCCTGTTTGCAGCAGGGGACCCTTACTGCTCTACAGGGTCTCTGTCATCTAACTCCCCAAAGCCCCCACGACTTTATGGGGACCAATGCTGGCACCATGAAGGATCCCTCTGTGCAACTGGAGACCCTCACTGCCCTATGGGGTCCCTGTCCCCCAGGGATCCCAAAGCCCCATGGGATCCCTGCATCTCCATCACCCTGGGGACGCCTCCTTCCCTCTTGGTGCCCTAGGACTCGTGGTCCCAGTCCCCAGCTCCCCAGGGCTTCCCAGCGCCCTATGCGACAGGCTCTGTGCCCCCGGACCCTCCTAAACCTTATAGGGACGAGTGTGTGGCAGGGGACCCTCCCCGCCCCACGAGGTGCCGGTGCCCCAAAGGGCTCCCACCGTACCGCGGGGGTCTCGGCTCCGCCCGGCCGCCCTGCGCTCCCCCGGCCGCGCCGCTCCCGCCGCTGGTGCCGGTGCTGGTGCCGGATGTTCCCGCCCCATCCGGCGCTCCCGGCGCTGTGGGCCGGCTCCATGGCGAGGGAAGAGCGCGGGCTGGGCCGGGCGTGCGGTGTCCGCGGCCCCGGCTCGGGCTGCGCTGGGGTCGGGGCCGCGCTGCAGCGCTCGGCTCCTCGCCTGCCCGGGCTGCGCTGCCCCGAGCTGCCCGGCCGGGGCATGACCCGCGGGCCCGGCCTCGCCCCCGCCGCCCCCGAGGCCCCCGAGGACGAGGATGAGAGAGGTGGGTCCGGAGGGGATCTCGGTGTCAGCCCCGCCGAGCACCGACCGACCCCCGCGGGGCCTCAATGTTCAGTCATCATGTAATCAACAGGGTGTTTTACTTCCAGAGGAAGGAAGGGCCCAGTGCAGTGTGTTTTCACACTCATTTATGAGTACAGTGGTAGTTAGTCTGGAGTAATGGACGTTGCCTGCAGTGTTTTTAATGAATCTGCAGAACAGTTAAGAAATCCTCTGGAGAGAGAAGAGCATTCTCAGTACAAACCTTTTGTTGTAAACTAAAACACAAGAAGTTCCACAGCATGTGGAAAAACTTACTGACATAGAGAGTGGCAGAGTGCTGGGACAGGCTGCCCAGGGAGGTTCTGGATTCTCCCTTTTTAGAGACATTCCAGACCTACAGGAACACATTCTTGTGTCACCTCTCCAGTTGACCCTGCTTTGGCAGAGGGTTTGGACTGGATGATTTCCAAAGATCCCTTCCAACCCTAATCATTCTGTGATTCCACGTCTTTTAATTATGGAATTGCTGCCTTTCCCAGTGCCGCTGGCAGAGCTGTCCCTGATGAACAAGTTGATCCACACATCCCTGGTGGAGTCCCAGCAGCACGTGGAGATCCTGCAGCGGAACCCCAACTCCCCACTCTTTTCCATCAAGACCTTTGAGGAGCTGCCCCTGTGAGTTGCCACAGCCCCCAGCCCCACCATGCTCCAGCATGCCAGCCTCCTTCTCATGGGCACTTGGGTGCTTTGTTTCCACAGGAAGAAGGAGCTCTTGCAGGGGGTTTATATGATGGGCTTCAACAGACCATCCAAAATCCAGGAGCAGGCTCTGCCGGTCATGCTGGCATACCCGTGAGTAGGAACAGGGCATGCCTGAGCCCCAGCTCCTTGTGGCATCCCAGCACTGTGGGGCCAAGCAGGAACTCCCTGATCCCTGCATTCCAGTAAGCTGCTTTTGCCTTGCAGGCCCCAAAACTTGATTGCCCAGAGCCAGTCAGGGACAGGGAAAACAGCAGCTTTTGTCTTGGCCATGTTGAGCAGAGCCAGTGCCAGCGAGAAATACCCCCAGGTAATACAGGACAGGGGGAGCTACTGCAGTAGGGGTTGGCCCAAGCACCCAGGACACTGCCAGGGGCAGAGCTCTGGGCTTTGTCCCTGTTCCTGTGTGAATTTACCCACTGGAGTGGGATGATAAGCCACCAGGGCCTGTCACAGCTGCAGGTAGGACCAAAAGCACGGTGCCCACCTCAGGGAGGTGCTTTGACTTGCCAGTGGATCAATCCAGGCTTCAGTTATCCTGGAATTTAGGTTTTGAGGAGCAGCTGCAGACACTGCTGGTGTCTGGTAGTCAGATACTCCCAGTCCCCTCTCTGGGTGCAGAACCAGCTTTGCCAGCTGTTTCCAGCCATTAAGATCTCCTCTTGTATGTGTGACTGAACTAGGGCACAGGAATAAGCTGCACCACACTTCTGAGAGAGGAATTTCCTCCTAAAAAAACAACAGCACCAGCTTCTTCTCCCTTGGCTGGAGCTGGAAACACAGCCCAGCTCCTGAGCCTCCAGCTGTGCTGTGCTGCCCCATCCCCTGCTCCTCAGTGCTGTGGATGCTCCTGAACTTCTCTTGCTGTCCCTGCCCGTGTGCCCAACCCTGGGCCTGACAGATCCTTCCTCTGCTCTCCTGCCAGTGCCTCTGCCTGGCTCCCACCTACGAGCTGGCTCTGCAGATCGGGCAGGTGGTGCGGACCATTGGGAAGTTCTGCACTGACATCAGGGTGAACTACGCTGTCCGGGGAAACCGAGGTGAGTCCAGCCCGGCACAGCTACCAGCACTGCTCCAGAAATGGGGAGGGAGCACAGGGATCCCCTATTAGAGCCTGGAGCTACTAGGGACTGCCCAGACATCCATGGAGGGCAATAAAGTAGTGTCAGTCCCCCTCTCCTATTGAGGAGGCTTTTCCACATCACTGGCTGCTTGCAGACTCCCTTTTTCCATATGGGGCTGGTTCCCACACCCCAAGGCTGTAGGGGAAGTGTCATGATGACCCCTTGAAGGCATCACTGAGCAGCCAGGCTCTGAGCAAGCCAAGGGAAAACACAGAGAGCTCCATGCCTGGAGGCAGCAAAAAAGCTTTAGCCCCCTTGCAGTTCTAAAGGGCATGGTGCTGGAGGAGCAGATCATCATTGGAACGCCAGGCACTACACTGGACTGGTGCTTCAAACAACACATCCTGGACCTGACAAAGATCTCCTTGTTCGTGCTGGACGAGGCTGACATCATGATTGACATGCAGGGCCTCTCCTGTCAGAGCATCCGCATCCACAGGTGAGCATTGCCGACAGCTGGGGCCCTGATTCCCTGCTTTCCCTTCTTTAGCTTTAAAGGAATCTGTCACCAAAGGGCTGTGAGAATGTCCCCATGGTGCCAAAGAGTCTCATCCACAGGTCTGTCTTTCTGTGAAATTGCATGCACTGGACACACAGGAAGACACTTCACCTCGTTTAACTTTCCTTTGAGCTGTTACAGGCCTCAGATTGACTCACAGAATCATAGAATTGCCTCATCTGGAAGGGACCTTAAAGCCCATCTTGTTCCTACCCTGTCCCATGGGCAGGGACACCTTCCATTAGAGCAGGTCGCTCAGAACTTCATCCAGTTTGGCTTTGAATACTTCCAGGGATGGGGCAGCCACAGCTGCTCTGGGTAACCTATGCCAGTGCCTCACCATCCTTACAGGGATGAACTTCCTAATATCTAAACTTTTTCTTACAGTGTGAAGCCATTCCCTCCTTTTCCTGTCACTCTTGTAAAGAGTCCCTCTCCAACTTTTCAGCTCTCTTGGCTTCCCTTTCCATTGAAGGCAACACAAAATCAAGTTAAATTAGGGTTTCTGACAGAGCTTTTTCTCTGCCCCAGGTCTCTTCCCAAGAGCTGCCAGGTGCTCCTGTTCTCAGCCACTTACAAGGAACCCGTGCGAGCCTTTGCAGAGCGGATCATCCCTGACCCCATCGTGATCAAGCTGCGTGAGGAGGAGCTCACCCTCAGCAACATCAGGCAGTACTTCATGGTGTGCCAGAGCTTGGACGAGCAGTACAAGGCCCTCTGCAACCTCTATGGCAGCTTCATCATCGGTCAGGTCATGATCTTCTGCCAGGTAAGGTCCCTGCCTGGCAGAGCCCTGCACTGCCCCTCTCCGGTTGGGAATAGCAGGAATGGGTCATTTTACAGTATGGGCAAAGTGGGCTCCTCCCAAAACCCCCAAAACAAAGGAGCAGACCCTAGAGGAGTGTTGAAAACCGCCAGGAGCTCCCTCAAAAGGAGCAGGAGACTCTAGAGAGGGAAGTGTTGGCCTCAGCCTGTCCCTGTGTGTGCAGACCCGGAGGCTGGCAGACTGGCTGGCGGGGAAGATGAGCCAGGACGGGCACCAGGTGGCCATCCTGACAGCAGAGCTGACAGTGGTGCAGCGGGCCAGCGTCATCCAGCGCTTCCGTGAGGGCAAGGAGAAGGTCCTGATTGCCACCAACGTCTGTGCCAGAGGTATCCTGGGAATCCCAGCACCTGGAATGCACGGGGCCTGCTGTTCTTCCACGTGGGCTTGAGCAGCTGGTCCTGTGGGACAAGGAACCCCAAGAGGATCCTTTCCCTCTCTTGCAGGCATTGATGTGCAGCAGGTCACCACCGTGGTGAACTTTGGGCTCCCCGTGGGTCTGGACGGCGAGCCGGATTTTGAGACGTACCTGCACCGCATTGGGAGGGCGGGACGCTTCGGGCACCGCGGCATCGCCTTCAGCGTGGTGCAGAGAGACACCGTGCAGCTCGTGCACAAGATAGAGCAGTATTTCCGTGAGTATGCACACTGACCCGCTGCCCTAGGAGGTGGGGTTGGGGCTGTGATCCTCTCTAGCTCATTTTCTGCTTACAAATAGTCCTTGTCAGGCTGCTCCACTCTCCAGGGCTCATCTCACTGGGAACAGATGACAGATACAGCTTTTAGGGTGATTTTTGCTCCCCAACAGGCAAATTTCCCAAGAAACAGCCCTGGAGGTTGTGTGCAACTTGCAAGGGATGTTACCAGTACCCAGGATCCCTCAGCACCTTTTTTTTTCCCCTCCTTCAGGCATTTTTTCTGCCTTTCCTTGCAAGCATTTGTCCCAGGGGACCTGGTGCCCCAGCTGAGCTCAGCCCTTTCTGTGGGAGAGGAGATGGCAGCTGTGGAAATCTTTCCTGAGTGGAAATTGATTGTCACTTGCTAACATCAAGAGGATTTTCGTGGGATTTGCCAGATGCCAGGGCTGCACTGATGGCTTTTTGAATCCCAGTGCCTGTTTTCCCTGTGATTTTTAGAGGGAAGAAGGTTATAGAAGCCTTCTGATGGGCAAGAAATGGTGTCCCTTCCTCATCTCCGGCCTCAGAGCCACTCAGCCCTCTTGGTTCCTTTAAATGTCCACCTGTCCTTGGAACCTGGAGTGAGGCAGACACCAGGAAGAGAAGACACGAACCACACATTCTGGCAAAGATTGCTGCCGTTGGGTAGAAGCAATGAGCAACTGGAACAACTGTCTTATGGATGAGCCCAACCACAGCCACGGCCAGAAGGAACCAGTGTGAGGATGAGCTCCCAGCGGTCTGACTTGTGCTTTTCATGTTGTCACGTTGTAATTGGAGGGTACAAACCTTCCCTGTCCTGCATGGCTGTGGAGGTGGGAACAGGGAGTGGGGACACATCACAGGCTGAGCCCTGCATGCTGCTGCTGTGGGGCTGCTGCTTATGTTTGTCATCTTGCCTTGGCTGCTGCCCTGATCCAGTTCCCCTCCTGCTTTCTCCCAGCTGATTTCCCTCCTGACCCAGTTCCCCCTGCACTTCTTCCCAGCTGATTTCCCAGAAGAGGGAAATGCTGCAGTGAGCAGTCTGGGAGCTTCCCAGCTGGCGTGGGGCGCTCAGGTGGTGCAGACACCAGCTCAGGGGAACGGGCTCTGCACTCACATCCCAACAATTGCACTTTCTTTCCTACAGAGACCACGATCAAGCAGCTGGATCCATACGACATGGAGGAGCTGGAGAAGCTTGCAGCTGAGTGAGGAGCAGGGATTCGTTCTGCCAAATCCAAGTTCTGGTTCTGAACAGGAGGAGGAGTTACAGGGGAAAACTTCCCGTTTCTCTTGTATCCTCCTGAAGCTGTTAAGTTTTGTTGTGTTGCCTGAGGAGGGGCTGGAGCGAACCTTGTCTCGCTAGATGGCAGCAGGAATCCACTGCAGCCATCCCAGATCCCGGGGCAGAACCCAAGTGTTCAGGGTCCTGGCAGTGCAGGAGACAGGTTGGAGCCCTAGGGGTCCGAAATCCAAATGTTCGGGGTTCCTGCAGTGTGAGGGCAGAAGTTGGACTCCAGGGACGAGGCTGTGTTTGTGCCTTTGTTAATCTTTAAAAAATACAATTGTTTGTAATCACCAGGCTGGCTCCTTCTTTACCAAAATTCTCTGAAATGTATCAACATTGCAGAAGGGGGTTGATTAGATCAGTGTTGGCAATGGTGTCATTTGTCAGGTTGGCTACTGCCCCCTGCTCTCCTCATCCAGATTTCTATCCAAACCCGACCTGAATGGGCACAAAACATGATGAGAGTGCAGCCAGAGGCATGTGGCAGTGGGAGCAGGACCTGGTGGCAGCAGAAGGGGGCCTGGCCCTAGCTCTGCTGTTCCTTGCCATCAGCTTTAACCTTTTGGGGCATTTCAAGCCCCTAAACCTCTGTGTGGGGAGTCTCGCATTTGTTATTAACAGGGTGATTTTGGTAACAATTAATGAATTCTAATTAAAGGATCAGTGAGGGAGATGGGAGGTGGCAGGTAGTTTTCCAGACTTTGCTGAGTGTTCCCTGATCCCCCTCACCATGTGCACCCCCAAATCCCCCCTGGTTCTCTCCAGCCCCCTGGCATTGCGTTACGGCACAGCCGCCCCTATGAATGTTTGATGGTCTGGGGCGTGGCAGACAGTGGGAGATGAAATATCAAACCTTGCTCCTTGCCTGGCTTCCCCAGCTTCAAACCCCCAGCTTTGATCACAGGGGAGTGGCAGTGGATTTTCCCCTCCTTTAGCCCAAAAAAAATTCTGTGTGGAGAAGGGAACACTCAGGAATTAAATTCCCACCTGGGGGAATGCAAGGATGCTGCCATTCGTGAAGCAAGGGCACTCTTCCTCAGCCCTGAGATTGCAGGGGCCCAGGTGGCAGTGGCGTCAGGTTCCCCCCGTGCTGTCAGCTTGATAAATAATGAACAGTTAATCAGGGCTGGGCTTAATTACCTGGAGGTAACCAGAGAGCAGGTCGTGGTGGAGAGCGCAGCCCTGCTTCCCCGCGCTGGAGCTGGACATGGCGCCATGGAGCGTGGCTGGGCACCGCCGCCGCCGTGGAGGGGGCCCTGGATCCTGTGCCTGCTGCCGGCGCTGGCAGGGGGTGAGCACCGACCTGTCCCCCCATTTCCCGGGCGGGGGGCGAGCCGGGGCCTGACGGACGCGCTGCCCCGGGGCAGGGCAGCCGCTGGCGGCCGGCGAGGCGGCCTACGAGGAATGGCGGGCGACGGGCGTGCGAGGCCGGGCCGTGGAGCTGAGCTGTGGGCTGCCGGCCGCGGGCCCGCCCGCCGTGGTCTTCTGGAGCTTCACGCCACAGGGAGAGGGGCTCCCGCGGGCCGTGGCCGTGGGCTCGGGCAGGGAGGTGGCCATGGCCCCTGGCACGGGGATGCTGGGCCGGGTGACGCTGCGCAACGGGACGCTGGAGCTGCGGGAGCTGCGCGTGGCCGCCCAGGGCCGCTTCCTCTGCCAGGGGCTCTTCCCAGAGCGGGGCCGGCTCCGTGTGGGCTATGCCGCCGTCCTCCTGCGAGTCCTGGGTAAGTCCCTGGCTGTGGCCAACCTGGGGGGGGGGACCCGCTGGCCAGCAGCAGCCAGCATCATGCTCCCCTAGATCACGGTCAAGCCCAGCCCCTTGCCCAGTAGCTAACAGAGCCATCCACTGGCCAACAAAACACTGCCCTAGCCACCAAAGGGCTCCACTCAATAAAACAAGCCGGCATAGTGCCCCACTAGCCAATGCAGAGTCCCACTAGCCAACATGGTGGTTCGCTAGCAACTGTAGCATCCCATTCACCAACAAAGCACCCGACTAGTTAGCAGAGTACCCTACTTGACAACGTGGTCTGTCGCTAGCCAGCAAAGCATCCTACTAGCCAGCATAACATGCTGATAGCCAATATAGCCATCAGCCAAGGTGGCTCAGCATAAGCCAACATAGGACTCATCAGCCAACCCAGGGCCCCACTAGCCAGCACAGGTCACCATTAGGCAGCAAACCTCCCTTGACCCCGACTAGTGTAGCCCCCTACCAGCCAAACATAGCAGCCCACAAAGCCACCCTCATTTCCTTGCCCTGGCTACCCAAGCATCCCATCATCCCAAACTGGTCCCAGTAGTACCCATGCCCACAGCCAAGGTGCCCCTCACTAGTAGCCATTCTACTGCTGCTGTGTCACTTCACTGGCCAAAGAAAGTCTGGGCAGGGGAGATGGGAGGGCCCTGGGGCGTTCTGCTGTCTGTGGGGGCTCTCACTCTCGGTGTCCCCAGTGCCTGTCTCCAAGCCCTTTGTGCGGCCGACGGCGGCGGCGGCAGCGGAGGGGGCGGCCGTGGCCCTGACGTGCACTGTGCGGGAGGGGACGGAGCCGCTGAGCTTCTCCTGGCAGCACCAGGAGCCCCGGGGGGGTCCCTCAGTGACCCCTGCGGGGCTGGGGGGCTCCAGGGCAGAACTGCAGCTGACACCTGCCAACCGCAGCCACACGGGCTGGTACATCTGCACTGTGCGCAACGAGGTCAACAACCACACCAGCGACCCCGTCTACCTGGACATCGTCTGTGAGTGCCCTGGGTGCCACCCACCTCGGGGGGGCCCTCAGTCACCAGCTGGGGGAGCATCTTCGGGGCTGGTGACATCCATGGCATGTCTGTGGCCACCACAACGCTCCATGGTTTGGACAATGGCCACTGAGCACCCTGCCACCATGGGATGTCCATAGCTGTCATGGAACATCCATGGACATCATGTATCCTGCCACCGTGATGCCTCTGTGGCCACCACTATGCCTCTATGGCCACCACGGTATGGCTTGTTGCTTTGACATATTCATGGCCATCATACACTCCACCAGCATAATGTCTCTCTAGCCACCATGGCCACTGTGTGAGCTGCCACCACGATGCATCCGTGGCCACTGTGCATCATGGTGTGCTCACAGTCCCCATGGTGCACCCTTTCTAAGGGGGCTTTGTTGCCCTGCTTCCCACCAGAGGGAGGAAGCCCCCGGGAGGGCTGTGTCCCCTCTGCGGGGATGTCCCTGTCTAAAGAGCCCCGTGTCCCCACAGATGGCCCTGATGAGCCGGCCATCCGTGTGGAGCCCTTCTCCCCCGAGCAGGGGGGCTTCTCAGCGGGCGAGCGGGAGGATGTGGTGCTGAGCTGCCTGGCTCCCTCCAACCCCCCCAGCCGCTACGTCTGGCTGCACAACGGGTCCCAGGTGCACATCGGCCAGACCTATGTCATCACTGCCATCGCCCGCGCCCAGGCGGGCACATACACCTGCCTGGCCGAGAACAGCCACCTGCAGACCCGCACCCAGGCCACCATCGTCCTCACTGTCTACTGTAAGTACCCCGGCTGGGGGGCCGGCAGGTCCCCACGGGGTGAGACGGACCAGCGCAGCTCCCCGGTGAGGATGTGGGTGGGACGGGCAATTTGAGGCGGGGCTGGGAGGAAACCCGCGCTCTACCCCAGTGCCGATGGTCTGCTGCAGATCCACCAGCCGGGAGCCCCAGCTGCTCTGCCCTGGCCTCCGATGATCAGCGGGATGTGGCCCTGCGATGTCGCTGGCTGGGGGGCTTCCCCCTGGCTCGGCTGCGCTGGGTGGGCCCCCAGGACGAGGAGGAGGAGGAAGAGGGGTTGATGGGGACCAGTTTTTCCATGGCCACCAGGATCCAGTCAGGGGCAACTACCAGGAACGGCAGCTCCTTCTCCTGCCTGGCCTCCCACCCTGCGCTGCCACTGGGGGCTGCATGCGGGACCACTCTGTGTGAGTGACAATGGGCTCATCTGCTCCCCAGCCCCTTTCTGACCCCCGGTGTCACAGCACAGCTGTAATGACCCCGTGCCGTGGCCAAACCATGGCATGGGCACTCCAGGGTGCTGCTGCCTTTCTTGGGATCTTCAGCACCTCCAGCTTGCTCCAAAACGGGGACGCTGTGGCACAGCCCGGATTGACAAACCCCCCTCTCCCTGGGGATGGGGGGAGGGAGGTGCCTCGTTTTTGAGGGTGCTTTGGCACGGCGTGGCAGTCCCCTAGTCTGACGCCTCTCCATCCCACAGGGGTCCCGTCTGGCAGCCCCAGCTGCGCGGCGGCGGCCACCAAGGGTGACGAGTATGTGATGCTGCGGTGCCGGTGGGAGGGGGGCACGCCGCTCGTCACCCTGCGCTGGCGGGACAGTGCGGGCCGAACCTTGGGCGACCCCGCACCCTCCACCGCCGTGCTGGTGCTGAGCACCGACGGCAGCCTGGGGGGCCGGGAGTTCGTGTGCGTGGCCGCACACCCGCTGCGGGCGGCTGCCGCCGAGTGCCGCCTGCGGCTGGGTAAGCTGGACCCGTCCCCAGTGTCCCCATCGTGCCAAGGCGGGATGGCACCTCCCTGCCGATACTGTCCCCCCTTGTCGCCGAGTAGAGGTCCCCGAGCTGGAGGCGGAGAGCGAGGTGGCGGTGCTGGAGGGCGGCGAGGCACAGCTGGCGTGCCGGCAACGCGGCAGCAGTGCCAGTCTCGGTGCCACAGTGGCTTGGTACGACCCAAAGGAGCGGGAAGTGACTCCGGGGCTGGCCAAGTACCGGCTGGAGCAGGGAGAAGCGTGGGTCAACCTCACCGTCCGGGATGCTGAGTGGCCGGGGGACAGTGGGATCTACCGCTGCACCGCCACCAATGCCGTGGGCACTGCCAGCCTCCCCGTCCGCCTCCGCGTGGACCGTGAGTCCTCAGACGGGCAAGGGTGGGCTGGGAGCATCAAGGGCGGGCTGGGGACATCAAGCCCCTCCTGCCGGGTGCCATCTCGCCGCAGGGTACCCAGCCCCGCCCAACGTCACGATCAGTAAGCTGCGGTACACGCGGGCGCGCACCGAAGTGCGGCTGGAGTGGCGGACGCAGGGCGCCGGCAACCTCACCGGCTTCGTGGTGCAGCGGCGTCAAACCAAGAAACCCCTCCGGGAGACCCCCAGCCCCTGGGAAACAGCCGCCGTCGACATCGAGCCGCACTCCCGCGACCGGCGCCTGGGGGGGCTGGACCCCGCGGTGCTCTATGCTTTCCGCGTCCTGGCCGTCAACCACCGCACGGCCGGGCACCCCTCCGAGGTGCAGACGCCAGGTGAAGTGGGCAGGGGCTGCTGCTCCGTGGGGGCAGAGCAAGGGTTGAGTGGAGAAGGGCAGCGTTTCCATCCGGGCGGAGCTGAGGAGCCGAGTGTGAGCAGCCGTCAGTAGGTTCCAGGCACAGGCTCGCACCTTCCCTGGCCTTTCTGGGCTCTGTCCGTTCCTGCTGCCTGCCATGTCCGCTCTGCTCTCTTCCAGCCGAGCCTCCCTTCGAGGCCTACCCGGCGGTGACGGGGGCGGCGGTGGCAGGGATGCTGGTGGCCACTGCAGCATCACTCCTGGCCGTGCACTGCATCGCCCGCCACCGGGACACCCTCCCACGTGAGTGCCAGGGCCGCGGGGGCTCATCGGGGGCCACACCCGACCCCTGGCACCCACCCCTCACACCCATCTGTCTCCGCAGGGCTGCACGACCTGCTCTTCCGCACGTGAGTGCCCAAATCCCTGCGCCCCGCTGCTGCCGCGCCCGGGCACCAGCGAGACCCCGCGTGTCCCCCCAGGGCTGGTCCTATGGGCACAGCGGAGGATGCTGAAGCAGCCGCAGGCGGCGAGGAGGAAGCAGCACCAGCACAGGGAGACCCGTCTGTCCCCGGCACGGCAGCAGGTGCCGAGGCAGCACCGGCACAGGGAGACCCGTCTGCCCCCGGCACGGCAGGTACCGGGGCGAGCTGAGGGCTGAGCCACCTGCCCTGCTGAGCCAGCACCCACCTGTGGCACTCGGGCTCCCCCACCCCTTGCAGAGCCGCTCTCGGCAGCACCAGGCACCACCGATGACCCACCGGTTAACGTCACCACCGCCGTGACAGCGACACCGTGACCACTTCGGCTTTTGCTCTTTATTTCCCTTTCCTCCTCTCGTCCACACCACGGGACGGCAGCACCCACCTGTGCCGCGTCGGGCTGGAGGCAGCTGGCTCCAAATGCGGCACCCGGCGAAAGCCCCTCCGGCTCAGCCTCGGGCCTGCAGTTACTGCTGGAGCTAAAATAAATATTTAGGCTACAATAAATAGTTTCTCACCGATGGCAGAAAAAAAGCCCGAGGGCTGAAGAGCTGCTCTCAGCCCCAGGGCTGGCATCGACAGGGGATGATGCTTTGGGATTGTGCTGAGGTTTCTGTGGTGCAGAAACAGCCACAAAGCTTTTTGTGGGAACGGGCCTCGTCTTCACCCCAAACTCCCCAATTTCAGGCCAAACCGCAGGAGGTTAAAAATAGTGATTGGAGACTTTTTTTTTCCTGCATTGGTGCAAGCACAAAAGGAAGCAGGGTCCAAGGAAAGTGCCAGGCAGTTCCCAGCTTTCCTGAGTCCTCATCTTCTGGTGTGTGTGGAAACAAGGGCACCTTGGGCCATTTTCTCCTGTATTTGGTTAATAATAACCCATTGGGAAGGATCAAGCCACACGAACCAACCTTGATCAGTACCCACAGAGTATCAATCTCCACACCAGCCATAAAGCAGCATTGATCCCTTTATCAAACCACCTCCAGAAATACAAACCCTACTCAAAACCCCTGCAAAACCATCACTTCCAAACACATAACGTTCCAAAGGCATATTACAACTTCTCTGGAAAACAGAGCATCTTTATCTGACACACCCTTTAAGCAAGGTTGTTTAAAACCATGGTTAAATTTCAGTGTTTAGGGAAAATGAAGCAGCCATAGTTAAATCCAACCACTCGCCTGCCAATCTCTGTTGGAAAAAGGGGAAGCCTTGCAGCAGGTCCTGCAAAAGAAAAATCCAGGCTGTGAGGATGAGATAAACAAAAAGGGAGGAGGGAGATCTGTGGTGGCTCTGGAGTACATGGCAGCCAAAGCCCACGAGTGTGATAGTCCATGGTGTGTAGAGAACTTTGGAATAAGGCAGCTCTAGCTGGGAGGATGCACAACCCTAAAAAAGGCAAAAAAATAAATATAACCACAAATAATGCAATAGAAGAGAAGGCTTTGGGGGGAGTTAGTAGTGGCCTTCAAGTACCTGAACTGAAGGGTGCTTATAAAAAAGGAGGGAGAGGGATTTGTTATATAAACAGATGGTGACAGGACAAGGGAGAATGGTTTCACACAGCCAGAGGGCAGGTTTAGATGGGATATTGGGAATAAATTCTTCCCTGTGAGGGTGGTCAGCCCCTGGCACAGGGTGCCCAGAGAAGCTGTGGCTGTCCCCATCTTGGAAGTGCCTAAGGCCAAGTTGGACAGGGCTTGGAGCAGCCTGGGATAGTGGAAGGCGTCCCTGCCTATGGCAGGGGTGGAATGAGATGAGCCTTAAAGGTCTCTCTCAAATCAAACTGTTCTGGGATTCTATGAAACATTAAAAAAACCATCCCAGCACTCAGAGCAGCCCACAGAGGTGCTGCTACCAAAGCAGATCTCAAGGGCTTCCTCCTCACATGGACATCACACCCCAAACCCTCTGGCTGGCAAAGCTGCACCAGTAGCCCTGAGCTCCCCAGGGCTTTGGAGCAGCTGCAGCCAGGCTGGCACAGCTCCCTCCCTTCCCATGGCCAGGGACATGCTGCTCTGGGCTGTTCGTGTCACCTCGGGGTGGTCATCACTATAAATTGTGCTTCATTGCTGGGGCTTTGCACTGTGACTCATGTGGGGGTTTGGTTTATTTACTGGGATTAAATTTGGAAAGGAAAAATTGAAACACCCACCCAAGCCCTGCAGTTACGGTTGCAGCACCTCCATCGTGCTGTGTCCAGGATGGGTGGGCTCTTCACAGCCATGCCCAGGGCTGGTGGGAGCTGCTTCACCATGAATGCTTTCATTTCAGAGCTATCCAAGCTGTCAGTAATCCCTCAAACTAAGAGTTGAACTGGATTTTGTCTTCTGTGAGTGGGAAAATGAGACAGGCTGGATTTCCACCTGTACTTCTGCAGAAGTGTTATTGAGCACCTAAAGACACAGTCACTGACTCAAGTTCTGCTTCAAGGACAGACTCAACCGAAGCTCATTTTTCTCATTAACCTTCTTATTTCCTCATTGGGATCTTCCCAGAGCAACCAAAAGAGGCCAGGAGATGTTCATGGAAAGGAGAGTTCAAGTACCACGTCACTGAGCTGCCAGGGAGGTGCAGCTGTTGGTCATTTCAGACCTGCTTAAATCCCTCTCTCAGGCTCCTCAGAAGCGCTGGTAAATTGCCACGGAAACACACTCCACATTTCCCATCCTCATTCTTTATATTATTACAATTCTTTTTTATACACATAACCAGGCTAGTTTTGTGGTGTGTGGGGGAAGGAAAAAAAAAAAAAACCAACAAAAAAGGGATTTCAAGGCATAAATAATATAAAAAGGCAACCATTTTGAAACCAAGATACATTCATATGACACTACTACAAAAAATAAATAGTGACTCTCTCTGTTATAATTAACATCCCCCCGTGACTCCCTTTCAGCGATGCTGCGGTGCAGTTCCTGGCGTTAAGTGGGGACAACGGTCACTGCCTCAGGTTTCCCGCAGCTGGAGCTGACAAAGGTCCCCAGAACCATTTAGGGTGACTCCGGATGAACTCCATCCTGGTTTTTCCTTACAGTCCTTGGAAACAGGCTGAAGAATGAGGGGACTCCAACTCAAAATGTGGTTCGATGTTTCTGAGTGCACGCAGCTGCCGCCTGCAAAGCAAGAGCAGGGCGGGTGGTTGTGTGGGGTTTCTCAGGAGATTCTCTGTCAGCTCAACAGACCCACATGCCCCAAAAACTCTTTAATTCCAGTGGGTGATGCTCTTTGGGCTCAGGCTGTTTCCCACCCCACCAGGCACAAGCACAGGGCACAGGCTCTATCCCAACACGGCACCTGTATTGAACAGCTCACGCTGAGGTCAGTCCAGCACTGCAATAATAAAACCTGCTCTGAGATGGCTATTGCTGAAAACAGCTATGAAATAATGCTGAACATTTAGGATTCATTTGCACGTGGCCACAATTCACATAACTGCTACATTCAGCCCAAATCAGCAACAGCTCCAGGCATTTGGTGCAAATGGCTCAGTGAGGAATTTGAAGCACCAAAGCCACACTTTGACAGAGGTGTGTCCACCTGAACCTCCCTTCCCCTGCGGCCACGGGGGGTGCAGAGGGAACTGCCTGATTTGAACACACAAGGTGCAATGATTCCAGAGTGGGACAAGGAACAGGTTCTCTTTCCACCAGCAGAGACCACGTCCCTTTCCTGTGCCAGTTCCTGCCTCCAGGATGGCTCTGGAATGCCTGTGTGTCCTGTGTCGGGGCCAATGGGTGTGCTGTGAGTGCAGCATCCATCACTCACGGCCTCCTTATGTGTCAATGAGCCCTTTTTAGAGGCATCAATCACCAGGGCATGACAGGACCAGGCACTGGAGCTGCACTGCTCCCTCCTTCCACGATGGGAAAGGCGGGACGCTACACCTTCCTCCAAGCCTGCTCTTACAAGGGTTTAATTACTGCCTTCTCCACGATAAATTAACCTCCCTACAGATTCCCTACAGACTATTCCCAGCTTCCCAGCCAGGTGCAGGATGCCTCACCGTCCATGCAATCCACGGAGAGCTGGCCCATGCCCTCCCGACAGCAGGGATGCTGTGCCGGGGGCTGCTCCGCGCTCTCCCCGCCGTCCTCCTCCAGCCGGGCGCTGCACTCGGGGCTGGCCGTGGCCAGGCACATGGCCACCATCACGTGGGGGCTCAGGGGCTTCATCTCCACACCGTCCTGCTGGAAAGGAGCTCCCAGGGGCACCACGGGCAGCGTGCTGCTGCCAAAAGTGCCGTTGGTTTTGGTGAAACACCTGCAAGAGGGACAGAGGCCAAAGTTACTCAGAGTGGCTTCTTCCCCCTCCTTAACTTTTAAATGTTTTACCACGTCAACAATCAGGGCATTTGTCAAATCAGTTTTAAATATATTTGTCCTTTTCCTTAAGAAAAGGATTGAGTGTCTTTTTTTTCTCTCCCAGCAGACAGCTGAAAACATTCAAAACACGCTCAGTGCCTTCCCCCATCGATTGAGACCCAATGACCTGACTTGTGAGTCCATTTCTCCATCAAAGCAACTCCATAAAACATGTTTTCACTGCCAAGATAAAGAGCTCAAATTTGAAACCCAAGCAGCACACTTAAGTACCTTGAAAAATAAATACTAAGTGTTATTGGAGTGAATGCAAATTAGTAAAATAGATGCAATATAAGAAATTTAACCCCCCCTTTCTGCTGTGTAAGTCAGATTGTGGCCCTGTAATACCTGTGTAGAGCTGTGGAACTGAAGTTAAAGTGCTGAATCAATTGTTACAGCTGAGGTATTTAAGCTTTAAACAAAAAGGAGCAGGACTTTGACACGCATACCATTGTGGCATGAGGGAAAACACCTCAGTGTTTGCAGCACCATGAACAATGTGGCCTCAGGGAATATTTATATAAACAATTCCTACATAAGAAAGCCATAACTACCCTAAAAGTAAAAAGTTCACTTGCACAGCTACTACAAACTTCGAGAAACTACACTCCAAAATGCTCCTTCTTATGCATGCAGGACAGAGATCAGTCTGCAGATAAACGCATGGAAATAAGGATGGAGAGTGTTCACCCTCTCCAGTGACACCTCAAAATGCTCCTGCAAAAGCTGAACAGGCTTCAGGTCTTTATGTGCTAGTGCAGACACGACTCTGAGCACTCTTCCTCTGTTTCTTTGCCTACCAGATATAAACCCATCCCTCACCTGCTTTGCTGACAGGGATCAGCCCAGTGCACTTACTATATCTTATCTCTGGGGTTATTTAAGGCTGGCATTTGGAAATAAAAAAATTGATTCTGAGTCCTGCCTGCTCAGCTGCTGGCTCAGCAAGTAGTACCGTGTGCTGCTCCAGACTGATTCTGGCCCAAAACTGAGGAGAGTGGATGAAAAATTGCTGGAAAAGGAGGAAGATGGACTGGGACACCAGCAGTGCAAGGGCAGCAGCCAGCAGAGCTGACCTCAACAGCAGCCCAGCACTGAGCTCAGAAGGGTTTAAAACCAGGACATGTTAAGTTTGGCAGTCTGTTAAGTCTTGCCCAAGTCCAGAAACCACTTCTATGCCATTAAAAAAATCATGGCAATAAGGAAAACCATCACGGTGGAGGGACCTGTCCTACAGCCCTGCCTAGAGCCTCAGTTCATACCTGAAACCTGATCAAAACCTGGGATCAATATTGCCAGAACTAAAAGAGCAACAAAACACCCAACAACACAACTGAACTTGTCAGAGGAGGAACTGCAGTGAGCTTCCCCTCCAGGATTTGCTTCACCTGCAAAGCCAGAACAGGATAAATGGGTTCCCTCTGGAGCCTGCTCCCTTCCCAAAAGCTGTGAGGATGGAGGAGCACTAAGCTTCAACCTTCAATCTCCTATTTTGTCCTTCTGCTCCTGTAACTGCCTCCAAAATCATTATTCCAAGTACCAAAATACCACAGAAGCCACTGGAGAATCCACATGAAACACATCTGGTCCTCAAACAAATCCATTTATTAGTTTGCCTTTCTCTCCGCAGAGGTTTTGACTGCACTCACTTATTATTTAGAAAAAAAGGCTCCGAGAAACCCATCTAAATGTTTGGGTTTGCATGTTTCTGGGGGTTTCTTCTTAAAGATACAGAGGTCAGTGGAGTTCTCTGTATTATTGTAAGAGCTTGAAGGATGTTTCAACACAGCAGTTCAGTCTTCTAAGCTTCAATAACCACATTTTGATGGAAACTAGCCATGGGGATATCCAGAGCAGAGTGTGGAGGAAGAGTGATGTAAAATCCCTGCTGTGGAAAGCATATCTTCTATCAATTCTTAATACTGAAACCCTACTAAACTATAATCTAAAAAAATAGTAACTTAGATGAAAAAGCTGAAAAAACAAACTGATGTTCCTACATTTGAATTGTGCATTTCAGATTTCTGATTCAAATACAATGAATTTGCAAAGGAGAGAGATCTGCAGAAGTGTAAATTCCTCTGCAAACGTCAGGTATCTTGAGAGCTTTAGCACAAAGGTACAAGAGAAGAAAAAAGATCAGTTCTCAATCCTGTCAACCACAGGCTTTGTCCACAATAGCAAAGCAGGTCTCCAGTTTTCAGCAGCTTCTCCCTCTGGCAAGGCTCCACCAGCAGTTATGAGGGATAAAGTGCTAATTTAAACAGAAGACCCAGGGATTTCAGCACTGCAATAATAAAACCTGCTCTGAGATGGCTATTGCTGAAAACAGCTATGAAATAATGCTGAACATTTAGGATTCATTTGCACGTGGCCACAATTCACATAACTGCTACATTCAGCCCAAATCAGCAACAGCTCCAGGCATTTGGTGCAAATGGCTCAGTGAGGAATTTGAAGCCACACTGCTGATGTGGCACACCTTGCCAGAGGTGCGTCCACCTGAACCTCCCTTCCCCTGCTGCCACGGGGGGTGCAGAGGGAACTGCCTGATTTCAGCACATGATTCCAGGCTGGGATGAGGAACAGGTTCTCTTTCCACCAACAGAGACTGGGCCAGGGGAACAGCCCTGGCATGTGCAAGGAGGTTGAACAAAATGGGGAAAACACTCCAGCCTCAAATTCCTACTTGCCAAAACCTACTGAGCTGACTGCACTAACCCAACAGGCCTTCCTCCTCCTTCTCCTCTTCCTCCTCCTCACCCTGGCCATACACCCAGCTCCCTGGTGTAATGCTGAGGCACGTTCTGGTCCTTCCACTCCCCTCTCCCATGTCCTCTTTCCATTCCCCCAGCGCCAGGACAGGAACAGAGCGGTCCCTGCTCTGCCAAACCGAGGTTAATGATCCCCTCAGGGGCAAGGCAGCTGTAAGGGACAACTTGTTTCTCTATCAAGCAGTCAAATATAGAATGGGGCTGTGAAAACTCAAAGTTCAGGCCCTGCTGATGACCCGTCTGGGAGGAGCAGTGCAGTTGCAGAGGACGGAAATCTTTCCCTCACTTTCTTAGAGGGAAAAAAAAAAGAGCAAATAAAAAACGAAATGTGTTTAAAACTGGAAGCAAGCTCTTAATTACAGTGTAACACATATGGCATGTTCCAAATTACTGTGAGACTCAGACATCCTGGTGAGAGCTGCTGCACAGCCTGCTCAAAATCACAGCACTGGTGTGTGAGGGAACGAATTGGGCTTTCCTGAGCCCTGCCAGGGACACTGAGCCAGCAAAGGCGTGCCCAGCTCCACCTGCGAGCAGCAGCTTGTCTGCATTACACTGTCATGCACGTATTTATGGAAGGAAGAAGGATTCAAAGCTCATTACAAATGGTATTTTGCAAAGTAAAACTATGAAAAGAAAGTGAACTTGTTTTCTGCCTTCAACAGCAGCTTTATTGTTCAATAGGGGACAGACTCAATGATGCTTGTGGGCCCAACTCAGAATATTCAATGATTCTATGATAAATTTCAACTCAGCTTAGCCAGATGTACACCTAAAGGCAGCTGAAGATTTTAACAATACTGAAAAATTGAAGTATGATTGAAAAAAAGCCCAGAACCTACCAGTCAGAGCAGCCCAGCTTGTCTAACTTTGAGTCCTATTTCTAATCGTTAAAATAACCAGAAATTTAGTCAGAAACCTAGGAGGGTAATATTTCCAAAAGTGAAAACTGAACAATTTTTATTAGGTTTCTGACTCCCAGCTACAATGCAGAAGACAGATTTTCCCTTATTCTACACAAGAATTCTTTTTCCCATGAAAAAAAAAAGTATACCACTCTGACAATGGCTGGTCAATCTCCTCCTGAAGGCCTCAAGAACTTGAAATCCCACATTTTACAAAGAATAGCATTGTGAAGGCAAAGGGGTGGTTGGTTAGTGTTCTTAAGGGAATGTCAGGAAGTGTAAAATACAGAAGACCAATTAAATCCGATTTGACAAGCTCCATGTGGAATGATTTTGTTATCTCAAAACTGAAGAAAACACAGGAAATAAGGATTTTTTTTAAAAATCCCAACCTGGAGAGATGCTAGAGAGCATCAGAGGAGCATGTTGAGCAAAGTGAGCTCTGGGGCTTCAACAACTTATTTTATTGTGTCCTATGGACAATCCTCAACTGCTCTCCAGGTCATCCATGGAGCTCCTCGTGCCAGCCAGGACTCCAGCCCAGTTTTTGTCAGCCCCAGCTCCACCTCAGCACACAGAGGGAGGGTTGTTCTCTGGGCAGGTTATTTCTCACCTGTTATTGTTCCGACAATTCCTGCAGCTGATGCACTCCGAGGGGTCAGCCTGAGGCACTGCCGTGTACAGCCCACCACCCTGCAGCAGGAAGGATTAATAAGAAATAATTAGAAATCAAATCACTATTGGGACACCCAAGAGCTCTTTGACTCAGTTTCCCCACTCTGATCCCATTATCAATGCCCTGCTCCAGGCTGTACGTGGCATGGCAACACTGAGCGATTGTCCAAAGGCCAGGGGAGGGCTTTGCCAGTGTGTGTGTCAGGGAAAAGTAAATAACTGCAGCTTAGACAAGTATGTGGTCATTTCCCTGGTCTGTTCTCAGCTTAATATGCTGAGGTTTAATTTAATAAACACACTGTAAATATATTTATTTTTAACGCTGATGACAGACACGAAAGCGAATTGCTGTTCATTAGCACGCAAGGCTTGTTTAGGGAGACAGAGAATTAAATTTGGAGGGCTGATGTCACATCCAAACCCATCCCACTTTCCTGTAATTACTCCGATTAGATCAGTTTACTTCACTACACTGATTTTTGAACCGTTTCGTATTTGTACAGATGGGGTAATTCCTCAGCCAGCAATGACTCCGGGTGAGAGGGATTTTGTGTTGTTGGTTTTGGCTAACAGGGCCATTACAAGCCAGTTGAAATGCCCAGATTAACACATACCTCATTGTTAGGGACCAGGCAGACAGTGATGCAGGAGCCACTCCAAGGGGGCTGCAGAGCCAGGCTCCCGCACCGGGCTCCAGGAGGGAGCCAGGCTGGGAAGGCTCACCTGGATTTTGGCAGCTCAAGTGGTAGGGAACTTCTAGCAATCCCTATTTTTGCAAAAAACAGAGCTTATCCTGAAGTTTTTGAGGGATGGGGAGCACTGAGGAAATGCCTAATTAGTCTTGATTGCCATCCTGGCCAGTTTCTCCCTTCCTCATTTAACCCAATCATTGAAACAATAAAGAGCGACCTAACGAGGATCAGAACATCCTGTTCCTCTGCACAGCCTCGCCCACGTGCCAGCCCCAGCCCTTCTCCACGGGCTGACATCCTGTGACATCGTGTGACTCAAACTTTCTACAACAGGGAGTGGGGAAAGAAAAACTCAACCCTGTCACCTGTTCCCAGCAAGACAGCAGCGCTGGGTGGGCACCTCGTGGCACAGATGAGCTCCAGGCACCAAGACCTGTGTCATCACACATCTATTTCCTTCTTTGTCCCCCAAAAAAATGAAAATGGGAGGGACAAAACATAATGCAAACTCCCAGTCTTTCTCCTGGGCAAGCTTTTGAGCAGTGCAAATGTTCCCTCCTCCAGGGCTTGGAGATTTTTGGAGAGTTTCACCCACTGGGAGGTTGGACAGGTCAAAAAACCCCAGTTTGGGCCTTGGTGCTCTTGAAAACAACCAAAAGTGGGCACTTCCTGCTACATGGGCAGGCCAAGGACAGAATGGGGTGAAGAACTGACTGGTCTGGGCTCAGACTGGAGGGAACTGAAGTGGCAACTACTGTGCAAGTGCTAATTTGTTGTTCAATAAAATGAAGTGCTTGTGCTCAATTACCAACACAAACAATAGACCCGTTTTTTTTCTCCAGAAACAGCATGGGTTATTCAGACTTTTGAACTTTTTCTTTCAGTTTTCCTGGGCAATGTTCACAGTTTTGAGTAAGTTTAGTAAGTTTGAATGCAAGCCATCTGTTTCCATAGACAATAATGAAATCATTATTCTCTCTTGGAAACAGGACACGTTTCAGCAAATGAAGTATTTTTCCACAGCATACAAAAGCTGGATCGCAGACTGAAATTAGTTTTTAATTTTATTTTCAATTTCAAAACAAAAAACGAGCCTGTCTCAACAGTCACAAACAGGGGACTGAAAAAAAAAAAAAAAGAAAAAAAAGCAGCGTTATTGCTGTGCTGCAGTTCAAGATGTATGGGGCACTTCATTCCATGGAACCTCCTGTGCCATTCGTGCTTTGCCATAATTAATAGCATTGCTCAGAGTTACAGATCTGAAACAGGTGGGGGAAAAACGGGTGATCCATAAAGCTGCAGAATAAGCAGCTATAATTAAATATATTTAACTTGGAGATTGAGAAATACCATATGTACAAGTAAAGTATCTCAGCCCAGCACTGAGGCATTCTCAGAGCTTACATGCTGTTAGGAGGAGGGTAGAGGCAGATTTCCCAGAGTGAGTGGAATTCTTGCTGTCATCTGATATTCTCAAATGAAAACCATGATGTTTGTATCACAAATATCAGCCCAGTTCCTTCCTCTGGGACAAGGAATTCAGTGGAACTGGCTGTTATCAGTGGATGAGTATTCCCCCACCCAAATTAAGCCTGCTTCCCCAGCCCCTGGATGAATCCCAAGGTCTGGGCTGAGCCTCCCACCCGGTGTAGGACCTTACGTTCACGAGGTGATGGGGATGTTCATAGTCCACGTGTGTCCTGGACAGGGAGTTGGTGTGCCCTGGGTACAGTCCTGCTCCTCCTCCACTCATGATCCCATTGACACCATTGCCAACTTTGTGGTGGACATGGGGGCAGCCGTTGCCGAGGCCATTGCTGAGGAAGTTTCCGTGGATGCTGCCGTTGACTCGGCTCGTGCCGGGTAAGGTCGTGTACTCGATCATCTGCCCACTGATATCTGCCCCTTGGTACAGGTAGCCAGGAGGGTCGTATTCTGCAAAAGATATTATTGCTGAAAGCACTTCTGTTGCTGAATGAGAAGCTAAACGAGCATCCCTACAAAATAAAGAAACTAATTTTTTTTCTTTCTCCAGTTTTTGTGAACTAACTCTGATATCCAGGTGCTTAGCATACAAATGTAGACATGGAAAACAGCCACATCCTGGAGAGCAGACCAGAAATGTTGGTCTGGAAGGACCTGGCTGATGTCAATCACTACAAGAGCATCCGAAAACAGGCCCTTTGTATCACCAACAGCCCCTCAGCTATATCTGCTATAAGCTGCTTCCCAGATCTCTCTGGGCTGCAGCTGAAGACTCTATCTTATCTTGCAAGAAGTTTTGTTTCATTTCTCTCTGTAGGAAAATAAGAGCATTTAAAAATAACCACAGGCCGTGGCAAGAGCAAGGCTGATTTATGCACAAGGAGCAGAAAAGGCCAGTGCAGATATTCTCCTGGCTCTGGGTTGTTGGCGGGTGCAAAGCACCTTGCAAAGCTCCTGCTCCAGCCTTCTGCTCACTAATGAACAGGTTTTCCTTATTAGCACCTCTCTGGAAGACTTGGCCATTGAATGCCATCTCATTGTGCAAGGACTAAGAGCTAACAAGGGACTTGTCCTAGAGCTGCAAGTTCTCTTTCTTTCCAGATGAACTCGAGAAAGGGAGAGATCCAGGATTTAATTGTCCACAATTTTAACAAGTGATTACGACTGCACACATTCTGCCTCTGCAATCATGAGAGACCTATGCAGGGGCTTAAAGTTAAACACAAACTGCAGAAACTTTGCCCAGGCCTTTCCCACACCATTCCTTGGGTGAAAGTGCAGAACAATCCTCCAGGGATGCAGCAGGACAGAGGGAGCAGCAGTGTGAAGAAACGGAGACATTGCTGCTCTTAAAAACCCAACCCTGCACCAAAGGCACACCTGGAAGTACAAGTCTCTACAGAAATGCCAGTTGGCTCCTAACAGGAAACTGCTTCCCATCCATAAAATGCAGCATGGACATTCCTAATTTTACCCTGGTGATATTTCCCTCAGGAAAGCAACCCCCACTCACTCTGCATGGCGTTCTGCTGCCGGTTCTTCCAGAGGCACATGGCGATGAAGACGATGAGGATGAGCACCATGACGCCCAGGACACAGCCCACGATCAGGTAGAGCATGTCACTGCTGCGCACGGGGCCGCTGGCAGGCACAGCCCCGCCGCCCCCCGCCCTCTCGGGGGGGTTGGGGGGCGTGCTCAGGTCTCTCACTGGATATTCCGAAGCTCCCGGCGTTCGTTTCACTGGATGAGTAGAGACAAGAATGTGCACATCCACTAAATGCGTTTTCTAAATGTGTTTTTTCCACGGTGAAATGAAAATAATTACTGCTGGGTCTGAGTCCCGTTGCCTCGCAAAGAAAGCTTCCAAGTCAATATTAAATCCTACAATGAGAATGCCAGCTCCTATTGGGTAATAACTGTTTGCCTTGGAAAATGGTGATTATCCTGCCTGCTCACCCTCTCTTTGAGGTCACTGGAACTTTAACGAGCTGCTCGAGGTACCGGTGGCTGCAACTGCTCTAACTCTCAACTTGAAAGAGCACAAATCTTTCCACTTCTGAGGTCAGGAAAAACCACAACACTCATTTCTCTCGCCCAGGCTCTGCCAGATGACCTACTCTTATCTGATGTGAACCCTGCTAACCCCCTTTCCAAACCACACAGTTGAAGATCAACCAAGAGATGAACAGAAAATCACTGAAAATGAGATGCTAGTTTAACTCAGGAATTGCATTTACATTAGTTTCCAGTACACCACAGTTCAGATTTGTTTCATTTGACACTAAAAACCCAAAAGAGGTGTCTGGCTTAGGAGTGAGCTGGTCAGAGATACAAACACCTCCATGCAGGTATGTTGGATAAGCTGGATCACTCTTATTAGCCTGGGGGAGAGAGATTTTAAGGAAGAGGCAGTGTGAATGACAGATTGTATCTTGCTCATTTTAAAATTAGAGAAGAAAGTTCTATTCCTTGCAGGAGGGAGACCAACTGTGTGTGCAGCCTTGCAGCCCTGCAGCTCCTACTTCTTCCTTCAAAGGTTTCACTGCTCACTTCACTGAATTTTGATGCTTCCGCTCCCAGAGGGCTTTTTTCTTTTTTTTTTTCAAACATTTTTTCATAGCTCTGCATTTGAAGTTTACTGTCTGCATTTTCCCTTTACAGCCTTACTTGGTTTTAGAGATTAAAGGAGACAGGAATTCTTCGCAAAATAAATGTGACTGCCATATCTGACACTTCCCGAGAACAGTACAAACTTTGTGCCAGAGGCATGCAGGATTAGGGATGGAGGCAGCCAACACAGCCATCAATTGCTGTGGTCTGCACTTATACAACGTGTCACAGAGCCCTGAAGACATAAAACAGATGTACAAATCAATTCTGTCATCTTCAGGCGCATGGTTGTCTCCTAAGGAGAGGCCATCTCTGCAGCGCTATCTCTGAGGGCAGGCAAAGCTGCACAGCTCTGCTGGGAGCCTCAGGATCACTTTCCATATGTTCAAAACAATCCCAGCTTCGGAAGACAAAACAATCCTCCGAAACATTCCAGAAAATTACGGTCATCATCGCAGCTGACTTTTGTGCTGCACAAAAATCCCCCCCAGTGGATCTTTCCTGTCCCAAAGGCGACCTCGGCTCGGCCCCGCAGCCTCACCTTTGGTCTCGCAGATCATCACGTTGCTGTACTCACTCTCCCCTCCCTCGTTATAGCACTGCATCTTAATGTCATACGAAGTTTCAGGCTGCAGGTGATTTATCAGGTGCCACTGCTTTGTACCTGTGGGGGGACAAAAAGTAAATTGACTGCAGTTCAGTTACCCACAGGAGTCAGAATTATGGATGAGTGCACTAGGGGCCTTTTCTACCAAATGCAGGGGCACTGCAGCTTCTCTTGTTAGCACAAAAATCTTCAGTAACAGTTTATGGACTTAGCTGAAACCACGGTCCAAGAGTGGCATCCCTGCTCATGGCAGAGGGTTGGAACTCGATGATCTTGAAGGTCCCTTTCAACCCAAATTATTCCATGACTCTCTAAGACTTGCATTATCTTGTGAAAGTGATTATTAGAACGACCTTTTGATGAATTAAAGTGAAGGTTTTTTTCAGTATTTTATTTTAATGAAAATCTTTCTCTACAAAAGCCAAAACTCACTAAACTCAAACCCCAGACATACAAGTGGCCACACATGTGCATTCCAAATCAACAGCAGCCTTGTGCACCCTAAACATGGAACTGCCAAAGGATGGGTTTAGGGTGGATTATCCTGACTATTTACAGTATACTGGGCAAGTAACAAGGAAAAACTGGCACAGAGAGCTTGGGACAAGGAAGAACCTGGCTGTGAGCAGACTTTCTCCAGGTGTGAGGTACCACTGCAGCCATCAGTGTTGTGCAAGAAGGACACATCTGGGTTGCTCAATTTGGCCAAAACCCCAAATAACTGAACGTGCATTTTATGACCCATCCTGGGAATGCAGAGAGGCTGTCCTGGTGCCACTGCCCCTGCAGAGCCTGAGCCCCAGCCCCAGCAATCTTCTCTAATAGGATGGTTTTGTCATCTCTGGCCCCTGGCCAGCATTTCATTTAGACACCCTCCTGAAGTACTGAGCACTTCAGGATAAATCACTCCCAGTTTTTACTTTCACGGGCTTGTGACAAATTTTACTAAACAGCGACCTTTTTTTTTTTTTTTTTTTTTTTTTTTAAGGGCGTTTAATTAACTGTTTGAGTGCTCTTAATCCCTCTTGGAAAATACCACCTTGAACTGTTTCCACTGTTTCTAAGGAACTGTCTACCACCTACTGATTTAGGCATTAATAAAAAGGCTCGGGCGTGCTCGGCGGGCAGGGGCTGTCACTGTGACGATGCTCAAACTCCTCTGGGACCCCAGCCCAGGTCCAGCAGGGTACCCAGAAGGGTCCCCCTGGACCAGGGGATGCCCAGCACGGTCCGTGTCCAGCTCTGCACGTCCCAGTGAGGGCGGACAAGCCTTGGCTGAAGCTGGGACCGCCTTTCCCTAAATCGCACGTTTTCCCAAGATTCAGGCTCGGTTTTCCCGGCGCCCCCACCCCCAAGCATTCCTTTCGGTAATTACTACACCAGGTTTTAGGTTTCCGCTTCAAACCATTAGTGGAACTGGAATCAGTACAGGCACTTTAACTGTCCTCTTCGTGCACCATTAGCAAGGGAAAACATTTAAACAACTGACATCAGACTGCATTTACATTTAAAATTCAATCTCCAGGATCCTCGAAACAGAGAAATTCAGACCAGAAACAGAGAAATGCAGGACATCACTGCAGGACCGGTGATTTTTTTTGTTTTTGTTTAAAGAGGCTGAGAGATACCAAAGAGCCATCAGTCAGGTTTTTTGCTTGCTTTTTCCTTCAAATAAAATCTGATTTTGCCTGTAGCGGCATTTATAAGGAAAAAAAAAAAGGTTTCTGCAGAGTTTTGAATGTCTCGAAAAACAAGACTTAACAGGAAGCGGTGAGGAAAGCCTGCGGCAAGCACTTAGCTAGCACAGGCATCACAACACTTTTTCCACAACTCATGCAGTCATTTCAAGATAAAATTCCCTGTCAAAAACCAGATTAATTCAAAGGTAACAGAAGGGAAAAAAAGTGAAGAACAAGTGATTTATGGCAAAAATACCTCAAGTCACATGTTCCTCTACATATTTCACATCAAGTGCTTCCAATCACAACTTAATTGAAAATAGTTCTCTCTCTTTTTTTTTTCCCCCTCCTGAAAAGCTAATTTAGGGGAGCACAGTAAAGAAAAGTTGAAGTTTAAATCTTTCCACCAAGTGATTTCTGTTGCAGGCTCTGGCAGAGCAGAGCAGCTGCTAATGGTTTCAGACTGCCACAAAGAGTTCAATACACACACGCTCAGAAAAAAACCCCTGAAACAAGCTAATTTCACAGCACAGTGGAGCCCACTTAAACAACTAACTGCTCAGTGTATAAGATTTATAAACACATGAGTTCTGTCTAGCAAAAGCTAAAATACATTTGCAGATGAAGGTGCAGCCTGCATAAGGTTCTTTAAAGCCTCTGAGCTCAAACTCTGGATCTTTAATAGCTTTATAGTGTGCAAAAGCTTATGTCATGCATCAAAGTACTATGTGCAGTATTGTCTGGCAGGGGAAAATTTTCAAAATAAAGGTCCATTCCTCTTGTAACTGAATAAATGAGGGGGAAAAAAATAATTAACGTCATCGGGCCAGAATGAGATCACTGCGTTTGCTCAGCCCGAGCAATAAGGACATTAAATAAAATATTTTTTAAAGGGTTTTCCACTTCTGGACTAATATAGACATTATCTAATAACTTCTTCCAGGAAAATGATGATCTAATATGCACAGGGGAAAAAAATAACTTGATTAAAAGGCAAAATGAAGCACAAACATACTTGCATTTGCAGAGTGCTAGAGCACTTGAGGCTAAAAGCAACTTCCTTATAGCAGGAGAAGTGATTAGGCGAGGTGAGAGAAGGGCAATTACACACAAGGTTATACCAGCTTAGAAAGTCCATGCTGGGGTAAATAATTTTAAAAGCCAGCTAGTTGTTAGTACAGTCTTTAACCCAGATGTTTTTATCCTGGGTTAAACCTCATTTACACCACTTTCTCTTTATACAACTTGAAGCTACACCGGTTTAAATAGACCTTCATTAAGGATGTGCAGCTGTGTAACAAGCCAAACTTAAACCCAGTATTTAGTTCTCAAGCTCCCACGTCAAAGAGGCTTCAGAAGGAAGAAAGCAGCTCACGTGTGGGCAAAACCTGACGCTGGGGAGTTGAGATCGCTCCTTCTGTGAGATATATTATAAAGACTGCTTGGGAAAAGCAGTTTAGATTTCATATAAACACAGCCAACATGGCTACAGGGTGTCCTTCCCCTTCTGCAAGCCCCGTACCGTCCACGATATCGCGCTTGTAGTCGCTGTCGTTGTCGCTGTCCGTGGGCCGGTAATAGATGTAAAATCCTTGGATGGGTGTGTTGTTGTTGCTCGATGTGATGTACTGCAAATGAATTTTAAGAGAGGAGAAAAGTTTTAACTGAGTCCTGCTGAGTTGTCACCACCGAGTATCTCTGCAAATATGAATATTTTTAGTAAGGCTGTGTAAGCAAAGGTGGCTGAACTCCCAGGAGTAGCCAGAGAGTAGGATGGGGACATGAGACTGAGCTTGGGCTGACACTTTCCTCCCGCTTCACTTCCAAAACCCTCAGTTTGACCATGCACAGCCTGAAAATCTGCATGATTAATGGAAATGGAAAAGTTAAAACCATAAAACTTTTCAGAAAGAGTTAAGGTCACTCAAAAAATCAGCTCAAGAATCTTTTACTTTAAGTTATGCAGCCTCCTGAGGAACCAGAGGTTATTTTAAGTTTATTATCCTTAACATCTCTTAAGGCTGAGCTAGCTGAGCAAACTAACACTGGGAACTCTACACATTAAATCCTCCAAAGTATACCGGGGGTTAGATTTCAAAACAAGAGCAAAGAATTTCTGTGGGTTTCAATAAGGACTTTAAAGTACTTGTTTACAATAGACGAGGTAACAGGGGAAAGGAAAATGTTTCTCTAACATGAAACCTCCACTGGATGTGAGGGAAGACGGCGGGTTTGAAACACACTCCCAGCCACCCCAGCCTGGATTGACAAAAGCAGCAGGAATTGCAGGAAACAGAGCCAACTCACTCACAACTCATGGCATGAACAGGGCTTGGGACAGAGTTAAGCCCACTGGTGCCTCTGATATGTCTATGCCAGAGCAGGTGGACAGGGGCGGCTGCAGCCTCTCACTGGAGCTGCCAGTTGGGCACATCTGGCGTAACCCGAGGAGGGGGGTGTGGGGTCCCCGGAGAGCTGGAAGGGGAGCGGGGTGGAGGGAAGCTGGGAGATGGTGCAAAAGGCAACAGATAATTGACAGGGCTGCCTCCGAGTGGGAAAAAGGGTCTGGAAATGGGGGCAAAGGAGAGAGGCACAAGTTCCATTAAATCAGTTCTAGCATAGAGACACGAGGTGCCTCAGCCCCGTCCTGGCAACACGATCACCTCCAGGTCTTGCGGGGAGGAAAACCCCCCACTCCCCACTCTGCAAACAGCTCTTAATCCTCAACTCTGCAGTGTAAGAGCAGACTGCTGTACCCACCGTCCACTTCAGCATGATCTGGGTGTCGCTGATGGCCTCGGTGTAGGCGATGTGCGGGCCGGCGATGGGCCGGCTGGAGAAGCGCCCGCTGAACCCGGCCACCTGGTACGGGCGCGACGCCGCGCTGCGCGGGCTCTCCCCGTAGGTGTTCACCGCGATCACTCGGAACCTGTACATCTCTCCTTTTAAGGGAAAGAGGGGGAGAAAGAAGCCCTTGTAGCAAAACAAAAGAAAGAGGATTCAAGGGGAGACTAAACAGATTAGGAAGCACTTTTTGCACAGCGTCCATTTAGAAAAGGACGGCAGTCCTTGCCACGGACTGATGTGGAGATATAAACAGCTTCCAGAAGTCACTCAAGGAAAGGCTATTGTACACACAGATGGAGACACCTCCATCAGCTCAGGAAGTCCCTAAACTTGTGGGCAGTGAGAAAATGCTTCAAAGGATCCCTATCACCATCTACTCCATCTTCTCTTGTGTTTTTTCCCTGAGTTTTCAGGGCTGGGTACTGGAAGAAGTCAGGACAGACATTTTTCCATTAATGCATTTTTCTCTACATTCTGAGTGTTCTCTAGAAGGACAATTAAGTTAAAAATAGCAGTGATACACAACCCTCCTCTCCACATGAACAAGTATTAAATTATGGTGGGGTTTCTTTTTCCACTTGGAAAGCCAGAAATCAACTTGAATTCATGTAACAAGCTCCTAGCCCATACACAAAACCCAAACCTAATCGAGCAGAAACGGGGTAATCCAAGCAGAAGTTGAATAAAACCTGCAGGAATGAAATCTCATTTCTGATACCTGGCTCCAAGTTCCGAACTTCCACGGACAGCTTGGAGGGAGAGATGTTGCCAGCTGCCACGAGCCAGTCGCTGCTGCGACCCAGACGTTTGTACTCCACTTTGAAGGCAGTGATGGGGGAGCCCCCGTTGGCACGGGGGATCCACGTGACGTAGACGGACGATTCCGATGCCGTGGATATCGTGGGTCGGTCAGGAGCTTCTGGAACTGGAAGGGGAAATTTGCTTACAAGAGGATTAGAGGCAGCCGAGACTTAATTTTCACTAACAAGAGATTAGACTCGTTGCTGATGATTATGTTGGATTTCACGTATTAACAAGGAGAATCTTAAATCCTCCTGAAATCACCACTGCATTTACTCTGCTGAAAAAGATTGATGCAGACAACATCAAAAACATTGGAGGCAGATCTAAATGCTGTGGATTATCAAAGGTTATCCCAGAGGTTTTTGTTCAACTATTTTCTTCTGGAGCTACCACTTCAAGGCTTTTATTCCCTCAAGTTTTTTTCCTCTATTAAAAGAGAGAAATTGATTATATCATCAATATAATATTAAACCTCTGATTTAATATAATAATAAGCCTCTGGTTATGCCAGAGGTTTTTGTTCAATTATTTTCTTCCACTCCAAGACTTTTATTCCCCCAACTTTCTTTTTCCTCTATTAAAAGAGGAATTGATTATATCATCAATATAATATTAAAAAATTACATGGCATTGCACTACTCCAACCATTTCTACACGAAAACAGACACAGACACTAAGTGAACAGGAAAAACATGGTTATTATTTTCAAGCCCCCCAAAATCCCCCCAGATCCAATGAAACTTCAACCCATTTGCATTAACAAGTGCTGGAGAAATGAGAAGGAATAGAGAACAAAGCATGCACCAGGATGTACTTACAGAACTCACTGGAGTTACAGGCAGCAGTGGGACAGAGAAGGGAAAGAGGTGTTAGTAAATCTGGTTGTAAGAGCTGTGAGGTTTTACTAAACCAGCCTGGATTCATGAACAGGGAGCTGGTGCTGAGGAGTGGAGCAAGGAGCAGCAGGCTGGCAGCTCTGGGGCATGCAGCAGCTGAGCATTTGCAGCCAGGCACAAGTAAGGCCCTTGTGTGGCTCCTCTGACATTCAGTGCTGCCACAAGCTCAGCTCCTCACCTGTGTTATTAAACTCTCCACTCACCTTTGGCTTTACCCCAAATTTTAGATACCTTTGAGATCTCAGCCCCTGAGTAAATCTGCCTGAACCAGGACAAGGAGTTCAAAGACTGGGGGAAGGAGGGGTGAGAAAAAAGACTATAAACGTGCTCTTTTCACTGGAAACCAGGCCAAACGTTGTATCTACTGGGAAGTGCTTATATCTCCTCACCATCAGAAATAAGCCTGTCCCTGGGAAGCCACAGGAGAACTTTCAGAACAGATACCACACACTTTGAGAACTTAAAGCTGTGACACAGCCATTTCCCATTTCCTCTTCCTCTGGCTCTTTCTCAGTGGAAGGAAAGAGAAAACCAGAGTATTTAGCAAAATGAAACCACGGGTTTAAAAATGAGCAGTAAAAACATGGGTTGTAAGCGAAAATTCTCTTGTTTTTTGAGAGCCACACATGCAGGCAGCAGCATCCTTGGAAATATCCTATTTAACAGAGCAACCTCCAAATAAAGAGGAAACAGAGAAGACAATACAAGCACTTGGAACAGTAATAAGCACAGATTAACTCTTTGCAACACAACTTTTCGTGCCTGAATCACAAACCATCCACACTCCTACCTCCACTGTGGCGAGACAGGTCCGGAAGGATGACACCGAAATTATTTGTGCCTTCAGGAACAACGGGATGTTTGGGGATTCCTACGGGTGGAGATGGAGCCTGTGTGTTTTTTGAGGATGATGTTCTTTCTAAGAAGATTTGACAGACAATACATCAGCATAGGGCATGCATAAGGAAATGCTGTTTGTCAATGCTCACTCTACAAGGTCACTGTGCTGCCCTGCCTCCAAATCCCAAGCTGAACAGTCAAGAGAACAATCAGGGAGTTTCTTTGGGACAGCATGAGAGATTTCCCACCCAGGCTGGGGGTGAGTGACTGTCCATCTGCAGTGGTGGTGATGCCACCAGCTCCTGCCTGTGCTGCCAAGCTCACTCATCACATCATCATGTGGGGAAAATTACACACCGAAATCCATGTCTAGAGAAGCAGTAAAAATGCTGTGGAAGCAGCTGGAGCCAGTACACCAGGCTGAGAGGGCTTCTGACCTATGGCAGTAGGGGTGGCAGGACAGTATGGAGCAGGGAAGGGTGGCAGTACTGACTCCTCTGAGTTTGACAGGGATTGACCAGAGGACCGTGAAGAGGAAGTGTCATCTGGGTTTAATATGATGGGCTGTGACAAGTGGCTTTGCTGGTGGGAAGTTTTCTCGGCCCCCCAATAAGCTGGGAGGGTCAGTAGCAGGAGGAACATGAGTATGAACACAAGGATGTCTTTTATGGAAAAGTATGGGTGGAATGGGATTTTGCTACAGTTTGATACCATACCCTGGGGGTTGTTAGAACCTGACTTGTGGAGGAAAGTGGGGTGGAGGAATGTGCACGTGTGATGATAAAGGGAGGAGGTGTAGCACAAAAAATCAGGTAAATGTGGGGTTTTCTACAGAGAATCCTCCTCAGATTCATCCTGAGGGTCTGTGCAAGGAAGGGGATGGCTGAGAACAGGCTGGAGATGGGTGACTGTAGCCTCTCGAGATGGTGTTTGGCCTCATGGTAGGACACAACCTATGAAAGGGGAGAGGAGAAGGACTCCTGTGTTAGAGGTTTCTTTGTGTAAGTAGGGGCCCTAGCAGAATCCTCATCCAGATGAGGATGAGGCTCCCTTTGGAGCAGGTGAGGGACCAATCAGCCATACTGAACATTTCTGTGTCTGGGTGAGGGCAGTGCAGGCTGGGACTGTGTCTGCTGGGCTGTGTAGGGTGAGTAGGTCAGAAATTATTTAAGTTGCTAGGCAGGTGCCTGGGAGGGACCCAAAGTTTCATCAGGCAGAGATGTTCTGGTGGGGTGAGTGGGTCACAATTAGGGAGTTGTTGACTTTTTTTAGAGGGGGGGAGATTTTCCGAGATTGGGGGCCACCAGTTCTGTTCACTGATAGAATGATGATAAGGATGGATAGGGCAAAGGATCTGTTTCACAAATTTCATGAAGACATTAAATTATTTTTTAAAAATTAAGCTTTCCTGTCCTTCATAGAATTTCAGAGGGGTTTGAGTCAGAAGGAACCTTTAAGTTCATCTTGGTCCACCCCCTCCCCTGGGCAGGGACACCTTCAACTATCCCAGGCTGCTCCAAGCCCCATCCAATCTGGTCTTGGGGACAGGGAGAGGACAGCCACAGCTTCTCTGGGCACCCTGTGCCAGGCCTCACCACCCTCACAGGGAAGAATTCATTCCCAATATCCCGTCTAAACCTGCCCTCTGTCACTTAAAAGCTGTTCTTGGACAGTAGTACAAAAAATATCTACTTGTTTGTGTGCTAAAGAGCACAGGCACCAGTGTCCAAGTTTGAAAGAAAAAATGCTCTGATTAGGAATGTTGTGCTTGTTGCTGTCTGCACACAACTATCAGAACAGCTGGCTCGTGGTCAGCAGAGATTGTCACTGAGGTGTCTGCAAAGCAAACCAGGAACAGCTTTGTTGATACATGAAAGCTCAAAGCAGAGTTTCTCCTGTGATTAAAAACCTCAACAAGGACAGGCTGCTCCTGACTTTGCTCCTTAAAGCAAGAGAAATCCCACAGTACAAATCTTAGCAATCACCCCAAAAATAATATTATCAAGCTTTTAATAGCTTCTACTTACCAACAGCCTCACACTCAGGGAAGTTTGCCCTACAGCGATTTTAGCTATTAGAGGCTGTTCTTTAGCAAATAAATTGCAGAATATTTCACATATGGCTTAGCAGATGCCATTAAATGACTGATGTCATTAAATAAATGTCTCTGGAAGGCCAGGACACAGGGCACATTGTGCTGCACTTACCCTTGCTGGTGCGGAACGTCAGCATGGCCGGCTGGCCCTCGCCAGCAGCGCTCCTGGCCACCATCAGCACTTCATAGAGGCTGGAGGGCTCCAGCTCGGTGAGGCGCAGCTCGTTCTCACTGCCCGGCACTCGCACCGTGTGCCAGCCGCCCGCAGCGCTCAGCCCGTCCTCCAGCTGTGCACAGGAGACACTGTCACATGGCAGGCTTGGAAACGGGAGTGCTCACACCCTGCATCACACCCCAAAGTAAAAGTGTTCTCCTACATTTACCTATGGTT